CATTACACATCTTGATAAAAGTTTATTATTACTATTTTATTATTTAGTTTATTATTAATTAATCATTTGAAGCTGTTTTGTTAAGAACTTTTTCATCTGACTCACAGGCTGAAATTGTATTCAATGTAGTAAATAACTGGTGGCTTGACAGAGAAAGAACCAGTAGGCTTGTATTATACCGGTTCTCACCTAAATCCCATTTTGCCCTCTAAGATGTCCTCCTCCTTCTCTTGAACTCTGTCTTTGGCCTCTGCCTGTTGCTTTATGAACGGACAGTACACCTCATCCTTTTCCTCAATCTCCGCCAGCAGGAGGTGGCCACGCATCTTAAAGGCTGCCATCACCCTCTCCAGTGAATAGGCCGGGGGACTGGAGTGAATCTACAAACACACGTGCATTCAGAGAGAAATATGCCTATGCATGAGAAACAGGGTGCGTGTATGCAGCAAAATGCTTTAGTACTACGACAATCAAAGTCACAAGCAAAGGTCAAGTGCAACTGGAACAACAGATAAACACACAAACAATTACACACACACGCACACACACACAGAACAAAACAGTGCAGCTACCTACCCTCCTGGGAGGCCCGTGTACACAGCTGTGTCTGATCAGCGGGACACTGTGGGGTCTCTGGCTTAAGTTCTCATACGCCCCTGCTTCCACTGTTGCTCCTGAGGTTGCGCCCCTAAAGGTCATGAGGTCGCTGCGAAGACGACTTATAAGGATCTGCTGGTCCACAAGGTGTTCAGTCTGAAAACGTTCACACACACAAATGTGCACACAGACTTTATAGATTTAAACAACCAATGAACAACCAGTCCAGATGTCATTCTTGGACAGTTTTGAGGGTTTTTTTGCAGATGACCTACAATGTTGAAGGTGTTAGTGTCCTTTTCTACTGTATTAGAGCTGCACTCTTCCTGTCCTCACCTGTATACGAGAACGTTCCTTTTCTTCCTCGAAGGCCTGACGGTGTGTTTCGCTCTGTTGAAGGAGTTTCTCTACTTCTTTGTGGGCCTGTCTCAGCTCTGCATCTTTCTGCTCCAACAGCTGTTCCTCTATGGTGAGAGCTTCCTGAGAGACAAAGAGACAGGGGGAGGGTAATCTGAGCTTTTTCTTTACCTAGTCTTGTGGATATCTTATGATAAGTTCAGCAGCCCTCCTTTTGATTTTGTAAAAGTCAATGTAGCTTGTCCATTGTCTTAGGTGATAAGATCATCACATTTTGACTTGTAGTAAAGGGAAAAACTCAGATGTAACAAATATCTTCAATGATGGCTTAATGTGTGCCAGTGACCCAGCATGCACAGTACTGAAATCACAATATGGCCTACTGCAGTTTTGAAATCGCAGGAGGTGCAATATTTGTTAAAGGCATCATGTGTGTCAAAATACCATTTTCAATTAAATACATCTGCAGGCAGAAAACATCTTCGTTTGGTACAAATAATTGCACAAACACTGGATGGCATTCTTTTTCCACTAGTTATCATTACCTTACATTTGTTGAGTTCTTCTCTGAGCTTTAATATGGTAACATGGAGTGGTTGGTCTCCATCCCCCTCTGAACACCCCTTATCATCATCTTGGCGTGAATGACTGACAGCTGTCAGTCTCTCCTGCCAATCCTGCAATCGCTGCGTGAAAGAGTGACTTGGAGCGGGGCCTGGGATATTTGCAAGCAGGGCTGCAGCTTCCTGTGCCAAAAGGCGGTACTGTGATGGTACCTCTTGGTTCATCTTCTTATCTGGGTCAGATATCCTCATCTGACTGGGCTGTTTGAAGCTGTCCCCCTCTTCACCTCTTCCAGCTGCCCTCTCCCTTTTCATCTCCACCTCTCTCTCCTTCTCTTTCAGTAGCTCTCTCAGTGTCTGTACTTCATACTCAAGCTCGCCCAGTCGAGCCTCACCGGGGTCCCAACTTGTGGGACATGTTTTAGCCTCTGTGTGAGTAGACGTTGCTCCAGGACGGTTACGAATGTGACGGGCTTTGGAAGCAAACTGCATGACACTCAGAGTCTCAGCTACACTGTGGTGGGAGGGGCTCACGCACGCCACCATCAGCGTATGGGCGGTGCCTCCCAGTGAATCCCGGAGGAGACGGGTGATCTTAGCATCACGGTAGGGTATGTGTGCACTGTTGCAGTTGTTACCACGGCGATTTCGCACAGGGTCAGAGAGGGCACGGATGACGTTGCCCAGCGCGAGCAGGCCTGTGTTGATGAGAACAGACTCTTTGAGCCGTGTCCCGGTGTTGCCAGTTTTTCCAACACGCTCCGAGCCTGCTAGGTCAACCAGACAGAGTTTGGAAGAGCGGACGGATTTTAGGGAAGAGTTTTTCTTGTGGCAACTCTGGACAAGCTGAAGGGTGAGGATGGCGTGAGAGCGACTGGAATGATCGTTCATGCCCGTGGTGCCAGCGTGGCGCAGGGCATTGCCCGTCTCGAGAACACTTAGTAGCTCCTCTGCTGAGGTGACAACCACCTCTTTGGCTCCCACCACCACTAGAAACACAACAAAAATAAAAAACACACATCTTTTTTAACAAAACGCTGTTACACACAGTTGGAATATTACTTCCCCCAGTGGGCAGTCATCCTCTGTGAAATAATGTCTCTCATTCATTAACTGGGAACGCCACCGATTTTACACATTAAGTTTAGTGCTACTCATGGGAAGGACTAAACAGCCTGTGATTTTGACTGATTGCATATAACGCCTACTGCAGCTCTAGTGATGTCACAAGGGGCACTAGTAGCATGAATGGACAACTTTGTGATGCAATGAATGTAGGCTTGTCCTTGAGTAGGATTGGTGTCAACAAATGGCTGGAGAGTGGATATGAGGACAAAATCCACGTGTGTAACAAACTGTCTCATGTTTGGTTTTTAGGAAAAGCCTTTAAGCTTATTTCCTCATATATATATATGTATGTGAAAAATAAAAATATATTTTGTCACATTTGCTTGACAGTAAAAATACCTGTGTTTCCCCTCTCATCCTCTCTGATATGAAGCTCCTTGTGAATGGTGTGCAGCTCCAGCAGGTCTCTCAGTTCCTCCCCATACAGCTCCATATATGAGACCCGCACAGTGGCTTCCACACCATCGCTGTTCCCCATCTTCTCACCCAGGAACAAGAACACATCCTGGGCCACATGGTCAATAACTCCTCCCTCATCATCTGAGAAAGGATTTGGAGGGAAGAGACACAGAGTTATAAAGTACATCTTGCAAAGTCCAGAGTGAAACATCAGAAGAGACTTTTTGGGTCAAACCGCTAATACATCTGTAAGATGGTACAACTGCAAATTACAGATTATGAAAACTGCCACCTGCGCTCTGTACAACTTACCCAAGTTCCCTCCTCCGAGTGTGTGTGTCTTCCCTGACCCAGTTTGTCCATAACAGAAGACGGTGGCATTGTAGCCGTCGACCAGGGACTCCACCAGGGGCCGGACGCAGGACTCGTACACCTCATCCTGGCTGGCAGTCGGTCCAAACGCGTGGTCGAAGGAGAAGAGTCGGTCTGAGCCGAGCATCACCTGTTCGGAGCCCGGCACCACGCGCACACACACCTGGTGGTTGTGAAGGACTTCTTTAGGAAGCAGGGGACGGATACGGACCGCCACCCGGACACACACCTCACTCATGTGTACAGAGAATTACTACCGCTAATGTAACGCAACTTTATGGCGTTTCACTTTTATCCCAGCACCTCACACACAGATGAGTTGTGGTGAAACTTTTTATTTTAGCTCTTAAGCATGTTGGATACGAAATAAACATGAGCCAATGATCTACATTTTACCAAAACAAACCGTCTGGTAACTGGCTTTGTATGTTTACCGTTAACTATCGTCTTCGTTACTTGGTGTGTTGTTAACTTGCTCCCATCTCCAATTTGTTGTCGCTCCTTGGTTGTCCGGGAAACAGCCGCAGCAGTCGACAAAAACACGACAGGCGTTCAAGAGTCCCCCGTGGAGGGCGGACCGAGCGGCACGTGACGGCAACAGCGCCATCGTGTGAGCGTGCTACTGCAGTATATATATATACACACACACACACAAACACACACACAATGTAGAACAACATACATGAGTCACAAGAATAGCAGCATTAGTCCATAAAAACACTATTATGAAGCTCACTGACAAGGAACTATTTAAATACCTTAGGACAGATAACCTGTAGGTCCTACCTCTGTCCTTCTACCACTGAAAGGGAAGGGCAGAGCACCCAGTATCTCGTATTTCCCTGAGGGTGAAAATCATCTCAGAGACAGATATCTAATCATTATTCTCATTTCTTGTCTTATTGTCCAATAAAATTCTGTTGACATGAAATCTATGACAAAATAAGATTATTAAGATAATTCATATCTATCTATCTATCTATCTATATATACATACATAATATATGACACAAAGTACAATTACTTAATCACATTATTTACAGTACTTTACAATACTATTCTGGTGTACATGGTATAGTTACATATAGGCCTAGTTACTCCTTTATATACTACACTTTGCTGACTTCGCTGCTATAAACCACACCACTGTCAGCAAAATTAGTTGTCTGCATTTTGAGCTTCTATTTTTATTCATTTCTATTTTTTATTTTATCTCATTATTTTTTTTCCTTTTCACTATTTATCTGTACTTACTGTATTTCTGACGCTAGATGCGGCCACAAAATTCAGCTATATATATTTTTTAAAACTTAAAATGAACAATTGTAGAAAAATAGATATCTCATCCATTTAAAATAAAGTAGACATACATTCCAGCTACTTTTAGCTCGCACAATTATAACATTTCCCTTCACATGTCATTTTCCCATAACTTAAAACACCTGTATTCATTATTAAAATGTGCACCATACTACATTTAGTCTCTTCAAAAAATAGAAGACCTCTTTAGGGAACTGTCCTGTGAGATGTGAAAGATAAGAAATCGATCTATTGCAACATTCCTTTAAAAAAAAAAAAAGTACATCTAATCAAAATATTTTATTTTCACTGAGTGTCAGTTCACAAGTCCAGATATGTCGATATGTCCATCATTATATGTTCACACACACACACACACACACATACACACACACAGTATATGATCACTATTTCTCTCTCCTGCGAGATATTTGTAAAAATGTTCCACATTCACAGTAAACACTTTAATTGACTGCGAATGGACAACAGTGCTATACCCACTTGGACAAACAAGCTACATTAAAGCTTGACACATGTTTCCATTACAGCTAGTGAGAAGCCCATTAGAACGTATATCTGGCACAGAGATGTGCTTGGCTTTATCCCAGGGAGAGGCACCGATGCCAAGGCGGAACACTGGGAAGTGTAGCCTACTCTATGTAATGCTGCCAGCATTCGTCAGTAGTAAATACAGCGTGTGTGATGTATGGGAATGTGGGCCATCTCTTTATGGTGCTGCTTGGCATAAGGCCACAGGTAGAAGTCGATGATTGCGGAGTTGATGCTGCAGGTCTGTCCGTCTCTCTCCTGCATCAGCTTGCAAAGACAGTCTTTGATCAGCTCCACAGACCAAATCGAACAACCTCGGATCTCAACCTCCCTCCTGTCCCCTGAACTCAGCAGCTCGCCTGAGAGAAAAGGCAGACAAACGCATAACATAGCGATTGTAGCTTACAATTTTTAAATGATTCATTCCTTTATGACCAGAGAAACACATGCACACACACTCCTGTCTTACCGCTCTTCAGTGCCTGCATCAGTGCCTCAGAGTATCGTAGTGCTCCAAAGTAGACGAGAACCTGAGGAACCCTGTAGTCTGCGAACATGGTGAGCCACTCCATGTTAATCATGTCTCCCTCTCCTCTGGCCTCCATGACGCCCCAAAAATCTGCCACCAGGATCTGGGCTCGCTTGTAGAATGAGATTCTCTTCCCCTGAAACAAACAGAGGAGCAGCTTCTTAAGCCATTGCTGTTTATTAAAAGACAGATGTTGTTAGACAAAGATAATATATAATGGCAACAACGCATGTGCAAAGAGTATGTTATGCTCCTTCACAGACTTTATAATATGAAGAGCATTAGAAACCTTGCCACACTGTCTTTGGCCAGAAGATGGAACTCTCACATCACAATTTATGTTAAGTTAATACAGTTAATCTCACTTCCTATAAGCTTGCAAGATGTTTTATACGTTCTGTATGTTTTTGCAAGACTATGAATTCAAAGTATCTACACAATTGTACAGAACATTCACTGTACAAGCAATGGCTTTCGCCTTTGTAAAACCAGAAATTATGATAATAATCAAACATTGAACTTGGCAAGTAGTAAAAATATAAAATTTCAGGCATGCTTCTCTGGCAAACTTGAACTTTTATCCACAAAATTTGAAACATAAAATATTCCAGAGTTTGAGACTAATCCCTCTCTAACTCTAACCTCATATGTAGCTTCGTCCCTGTAGGAAGGGATCTTCTTCACAATGAGTTCCACCATCTTCCGGGCGTCATTCCCGGCTTGGCTGATGAAACTCCGAAGGCTTCCACCGTGTTCCAGCAGCACGCGGCCGCCTTCAGTCAGCACCTTGTTAGAAAGACTCAGTAGGTGATGTGTTCAAATTTGACTTTTATAATGAGTTAGGAGCTGTATACATGCAATTTCCACATATCATAACAATATTGCACATTTCCTTTATTGTTTTATCTTTTATACATATCCTTTATTATTCTTTTATCTTATTGTCAATTTTTATATTTTATCTTGATGATTACTTGCTCTATATCTATCTTTCTTATACTTTTCTACCTGCTGTTTATTGTTCAGCATCAAGTGACTTGGCACACTTGGCAAAAAAGCTAATTCTGATGCGGTTCAACTAATAACGCAACACTGGCAGACATAATATTTATATGAGCTCTAAAATCTGTTTTCCTTAGTTAACATAAAAGTAAATGCAGGGATGTGATAAAAACTATGTACCAAAATGATCAAATCTGTCAAGGAACATGGTATGTAGGGTGGGTTCATGTAATATTTTGACTTGCTTTGAGTAACATGTCTGACTTTTACACAGATGCCACATAGTTATAACAATGGCAGGACACAGAACAATATAATCTACGACACTTTATGTACAATGTAAGGTTGTAGCTTTTCATTAAGAAGTATCAAGTGGTATGCTTTTAGTACACTTTTGTAAATTTTTAAAGCAAAGTAAAAACACAGGGCTACATAAATTGTGATACCAGTGTCAAATAATTGACGCAACTTGAGGATTTTAATGGTTGTTAGATCCCTAGTATCATCATTATGGGACGTTAACATGAGGATGTTAGGACCTGGTGGCGCTCCTTAAGCATGGGCATGGGCGTTGCATTGTCTGATCGAAGGACATGTTCCAACTCCTCCAAACTCATCTGAGAGAAGTGCTTTGGATCAGTGATGGGTATACCTGAGGACAAAGGTGGAAGGCGTATTCAGATCCTTTCCTTAACATAGAAAAATATATGTCCGATTTAAAAAAATATCCTGAATTCAAAGCTATTCTTGTTTATAGTTTTATTTTAATGTTGTAGATCATCAATGTGGAGCCATTTTTATATATAATACTGTGTAGATTATAGTACTGCATCATATAATATAAGTGTTTTGTAATATGTGTTTTTTAGTGCAAAATCTTAAACCACCAAAGTGACTTATAGCTGTCAGATAAATGAAGTGGATTAAAAAAGTACAGTATTTCACTCTGAAATGTAGTGGAGTACAAGTATACAGTTGCATAAAATGGAAATACTGAGGTAAAGTACAAGTACCTCAAAGACGGATTTATCTTTAGACAGAACTACTGGAGAGAAATAGGACACTTAAGGCTACTAAGTTATGAAGTTATAGCATGCTACAATAACAGGAACATAACTCCACGGTAGCCATTTCTCCCAAGCGGCTCAAGCTCCATAATTTGTTCTGATCTCACGCTGTCGACCCTTTGGTTTCACACTCTGAAGCAAAGCTAACGGAGCTTTTGGGAGAGAATCTCTTGTAATTATAAAGGCCACAGCGACCACACATTGAGAGCACTATTCCATTTGAGATATAATTGATTCATATCCGGAGTCATTCACGCTAATTATGAATGATGCACAGGAGCATGCAGAGCTACAGGCAATTTCCCAGCAGACGAAGTTCAAGTAAAGGGCACATACACAATAATTAGTAATAGGAGGGCACAACAAAAGCACAAAGAAAAGAGGAACAAAAAGAGACATCAAATGGGCTTGAATGTACATCTTTTTCTCCAGAGTTGAAGCTACTAAAAAAAAATATATATCAATTTTCAATAAAGGCAAATATGTCATGTAACACTGCCTTGCCTTTGCTTCATAATTCTGACATTTCTATCACACATATTTTCTTTAGTAGTATCGGTTTTATTTTCTGTGCAAGTTTGATGAAACCTGGAAAAAATGTTGCCCACCGAATTTGAGTAACAGCTATGAAGCATCACCTCAACTTTGCACCTGAGAAAGGAGGTCGGGCAGGTAAATCAATGTACTATTAAATTTACTTTATTTTAACCTAGTTGTAACCCCTTTAACCCAGCAAAAGACTAAACTCAATACGTGCTCTCACCTTCCTCCATGGCCCTGGTGATGGCAGCACACAGGGTCATGTATCCTGTGTAGGTGGTCCCTTTATAAGTCACCTCGCACTGTTGTGTTTCTTTCTCTGGCCAAAAGGAGAAGTTCATTGTGTCTACCACAAATACCCAATTCAAGGCCTGCAATGTTGAAAAACAAAACTTATCATATCTATTTAAATAAACTTAATAATAATTTTTTTAAAAGCCTGTTGTAAAATGACAAACACATTTACATAACTATAAACCTTGTACCTTTTAAAAGCACCCCTTATGAAGAATACTCAAATAAAAGTAACAGTACCTCAAATTTGTACTTAAGTACAGCACGTCAGTACATGTACTTGGTTACATTCCACCACTGATGAAATGGCAGTTCAGTTTAATTATCAGGCTCTATTAACAGCTTCTGAAAATGTATACAGTATCACCTAAATAGTATATTAAGTACCGCTAAATATAAGTGTCAAGTTAACTATCATAAGCAATGCATGACTATGTAATGATATGAATATGAAATGCACACTACAACATCACATCTCAATCCATCTGATATTTCAAGTTTTCCCTCGTTATTAGCAGAGTTGACGATATGAATTGCGGGTGAATTGACTGGATTTTCTGTGGTGCCTCCTTCAATGCAGTATTGGTGTTGCCACTGAACAACATTGTACCATGTGATTAACTACTCATGTATGCTTCTCGACTGTTGGCAGACTCCCCTGGTCAGAGGTGGGCGCTGGTGCCAATGGATTTGCCTTCTTCCAGCCACTGGCCGTCAGATCGTCACTGTGTCGGAGACTGTAGAGCATCTCTGCCACCATCTGCACTCCTTCCTCCTCCACAAACACATCTCGACTCCGCTCTGCTATGAACTGCCCAGACTCACGGGGAAACAGAGGTGGCTCCATGATGTACTGTATGGAGAAGACTTGCATATAAATATAAACATATTCCCCCAGCAGTCCATAGAAAATAATTAGAGAAACATTAGAGACTACAGTGGGTGCAGGGTGGAGATGTGAATGGCAGTGCCCTTTTCATGTTGAATATATGATATATCCGACATACTTCTCTGGGGAAGTGCCATTTAAAGATGATCTCCCTGCTTAATTAGATAATTCACAAGGAAAAGATTCAATGAAGATGGGAGATGTAACAAAGCAAGAGCATTTCTTCAACAAAAAAAGAGTTTTCGAAAAGAAACTCTGCATGACTTTTAGAACAAAAATCAGTGCTGGTTTTCAATCTCATTCAACTGTGTTTTTAGTAGGGACCTCACTCTCATCTCATGTAGGCAATGTAGAAATATAGTGCACAAACATATAAGCCCCCCAGCACACAGGAGCATCTCGACTCAGACCAGCCCCATTATTTAAACCACAAGAATTAAATTAACGTTATATCCTTCTCTGTCTACCTATAAAAGCTGCCTCGTCTTTTCCATCTATGTGAAGTGTGCAATGGCTGTATGTTACCAATGTGTTCCCTAGCAGACTAATAGGATGCTGTGACGCACATAGCAGTGGCCTACTGAATTAACTAAATTTCCTCTGTTAGAGCTTTGCTAAGTCATATGACTCACTCTCCACTTTGATATCTAAAATGTGAGCCCAATTGGTGGAGCTCTGCCCCTCAGTCAAGTCAGTGAGTACGTTAACCAGGTATGACGCTTCTACGTTTCAGCGAAAACTGGACGAGCAAAGTGCACGTTGGAACTGACAGTGGAGTATTCATGTTGGACTTTATCAACACTAATAACGTTACTTTCACACCGCAGAAGAACAATGCAAGTTTTTCCATATAAACTTTCTGTTAATCGAGAATTTACATTTAGTTATTCGTTCATAAAATTACCTTTCACGCAACTTACCGGTGAATGCAGGGATAGTACACTGCAGACTACGTGGTGCTTCCACTACCTGGTTTCCAGCTGTTGACCAATCAGAGCGTCTCTTGTGGACTCATCACAGGTTGAAACACCAATCACGAGAAGCCAGGAGAGGAAACCGGAAAACAATATCCATTCCGTTACGACCACATAAAAATAATAATTACCCTCTTCTATCTACTATATAGCCTGGAGGGGACCATGCGTTTGGGTATCGGTCAGCAGTTTTTCTCGCATATTACTGCCCCCCTCCCAGCCTAATATTTTTTGTTCACACTTATAACTGTATAATCAGGGAACTCTTAGTTTCAGTCATTAACATTTAAAAAAAAAAAACATATTTATTGACCAAGCCTAATTTAAGCGACTTTGTCTTTTCAGCAGCTTTAGCCATTTCCCGGTATGCCTTATGAAATAGCAAAATGCATTTAACCTAACCCCAACCTTGTGCCTGATCCTAACCAGAAGGGGCACTACTGGAAACTTATAATGGAGAACAAACTTTGAGAACACTGCTGTTAATTGGTTGGTCTAAAAGAAGCCTTATTTGGTCTGTAGCATCCCATATTTTTGCTTTTTTTCACAGCTCAAAAACCGACATCCATAGAAAAGTTTGGTGTCATTTACAACTGCACCATCTGCAGATTAATTCCTCATCCCTTATGTTATTATCCACTAAAGTTAGCCACCACGTGAGACGAAGAAAAGAAATCCCCATTTATGACCTTCATCGCCATCTTGACTGTAAGGGAGCCCGGAGGGACAATTGAGTGGGAATTCAACCCTTGTTTAGGAGGGGAAGGGGTTACAATTTGTGAGGTGTGTTGCAACAAAATGTCTAAAGAAATATCAGAAGTTATCGTCCCATTTGTTTTCCAAGTTTATACAGTTAGGCGATTGTATTTGGGCCAGCTGAAGCACCAAATTGTATGTTTGAGCTCTGGGTCATCAAATGCATCCAGTAACCACTCGATTAACATAAAATAAAATTTAACGCTTACCAGGTAATTGAACAAGATTGTGAAGTTTCCACAATGTAACATGAGACGGCACGATGAATTGACAGAACACTAATCAGCACTACTTTTTTTGAGTAACAATTTAAGCAGAAATACCCAAGATTTTATAATACCACCTTCTTTACAGTGAAGATTTGCTTCTTTTGTTTTATGGAATAGTAAATTTTTGGTCAGGTTGGGCTCTGGATTTTTATGATGGGACATTTCTGCAGATTAACAGATGTCACAGCTTTAAATTTAACATGCCTGAAATGATAGCTGGACCCACGCCAAAACAATCACATTACCTTTATGCCAAATGCCATCAGTGCACAGAAGCGAGACATGTTCAATCAGCAAGCTCATTAAAATGGTTCAGTAAAAAGTGGCACCATCTTTATTCATTTTACAATTTGACAATGTGAAGTCTACATTATGGAGAGCAAACAAATGTGGAGCACAGGGAATTGCAGGGACAAAATATATACGTTCAATATCATTTGTCAATTCTCCAATAAAATGTCAAAACTAATTTCTAGCTACATGTTTCCATTTATGAGGAGTTGCTCAAATTCTTCAAATTTATTTCATCACACAACTACCGTGAATATTCCTACAAATCAGTCAGACTGTCCTGTATCTGGTGTGTACAACAGTCCCAACTTAAACATCCCCAAAAAGCCATTCTTAAGGGTAAAAATTCCCACATTTCTAAAAAGAAAAACAAATGGTTCAATATGAAAAGAAACTTAGCTTACATTCTGCATGTTGCACAGAGTAGTAATGTGGTACAACTGTTTGTGAAGGGACCGATATAGACAACAGAAAGCACACCAACCCACACACGCTGACATGCTCGCACACGCGTACACACACATACAGGACAGGATTAAACCGGAGACACAAACATACACATACAAGTTATACAAAACAAACCCATCAAAAAATAAAGGTTATGCTTAATTTTGTCCGCCAGGAGACTGAAGAATATGGATAGATGCGAGTGTTAGGAGAAAAAAAAGTGAAGTGTATCTGATAAACTAATTGACTACACTCTTAAAAATGCAGAACATCTACATTTTCTTTTCACAGGAATGTTGGACATTTATTTCATTAAAAAATACAAAAATAAAATTCAAAAAAGACACCCACAATCCAGAATAATAGTCTGAAGGGGATATGTTGGACAGGGGCAGAGAGGCTGAGGGTGGATTGGGAGTGGGATTGGGGTGGGGGTGGGGGCAATCTGAGTCTGCTTCAATCTGAGTCTCCTGGGTCTACAGCAAATGACCAGAGTACTGCTTCACACTGAAATAAAAAGAGTGGAAAAATAAATAAAATACACCAGAAGAAAAATGCAATTCACATTTCGATGACATGTGTAAATATATACATATAGAGCTGTGGGAGGATGAAGTCTTGGGAGGCAGAGCGGGAAGAGAGACAGGCAGCGAGTAAGAAAAAGACAGGCAGAGAAAAAGGGGTGAAATAAGTGGCGGAAGGAGAGCGAGGAAGGGGAGAAGGGAAAAGAGGGGTGTGGTTAGTCCTTGTGTCCAAGCAGGTGCAGCAAACTGAAGGGGGAGGAGAGGAAGGAAGAGGGAGGCAGGGTTAGTTACCATGGCAACACTACACTACTCGTGAGACAGCGGCGGCAGGTCGACAGCTGTATTAGAAATCAGGCTAAGCTTCGATAGCATCAACAAGGAAGTAGTGTATATTATACGTGCCTACTGGTTGCCAAGGGAGACAGAAGAGGAGGAGCCCGTGCTATTTGGCAGACTGTGATTTGTTGTCGGTTGATCTAACTAAAAACAACAAAATCACTAGTCTTCCACACAGCAGCAGCCAGGGGAAGAATCAATCCACTCCCTGCTTCACAGTGAAACGGCTTAGATGGCAAATAGACTTTTTTTTTCTTCCAAATCATATTCACTGGACAAATGTGCCAGTCAAGAGAAACATGTCTATCACATTGACCCTTTTGAAAAAAAGGTTATTGCAATATGTACATCTATTAAGTTTGCCTACTCCTTCACAGCCATTTCATGCAAGAGGAAGGTTTGAACTAGTTGCAGGTTGCATGGGGAAAGAAAGGAAGGGGGGTTAGTGAAGAAGACAGCAGGCAACAGAAATGTATGACCCAACAGAAAGTGGGTTAACTAGTTTCAGGATGCAATTTCAGAAAAGACATTTATGCATTTATTATCTTAAAATCTCTAATCCTATAATGTGTGGTTCACTGTCTAAAACAGGTTGCATCGACAAACTTTTTATGAAGCAACGCAACAGATGTTATGCAGGTTTAGAGCTCACAGGACAGTTTCCATAGAGGTTTTCAAACAGTTCCCACTGTAAGAGACTAGGGGTGGGGGGGAAAAATAAAATCGATACTGCATAGTATCGCAATATTTTCCGTGGCAATACCGTATCGCTATACGGACGCCAAGTATCAATCTTTTATTATATAAATTGTACATGAGAATTTTACTTTTTTGGTATAATAAAAATAAAATAAATTACTTTTTCAGTCCACTAGAAAGGAGGAGTTTTCCTTTCGGGACACAATTTAAAGTTGGAAAAAAGTAGTAAATTCCAATACATCGCAATATGTTTAAAATCGCGATAATATAGTATTGTGACACAAGTATCGTGATAATATCGTATCGTAGGGCCACTGGTGATTCCCACCCCTATCTCAGACGACGAGGCCAATTCGATGGGAAATCTGCTTCAACTACAACTAGGATGAATGAATCAAGAATTTCTTCATCTGATAAGACGGAGGTCAGTGTAACACAATGAGGCTGTGTGAGAACTTGCCTGTTCTGTAGAAGGTACTGGGCATTCTGGATCTGGTCCTGGGTGCCAGTAATGGTGATGATTCGGTCCTCAGAGCCTTCCAGAGGCTCATCAATCTTGATAGAGGCACCAGACTCGTGGCGGATCTGTTTGATCCGCTGGCCTCCCTTACCAATGATCGAGCCAGCAAGCTGTCAGTGGGGTATAAAAGTATAATATAGTATAATCAAATATTTAATGTGGTTTAACACAATGTGTAAATGTGATTAATAATATTTCTAAATTTTTTTTGTTAATTACACTAAAATACTGCTATGACCTTGTCTAGTGTGGGTGCAAAATGGAAAAAGTTAAGTATAGGAGACAACGTGACTTATGGTACTGTACCAGTCTACAGTTGAACAAATAATGGAATATTATATGCACATGACTAAATGTAATTTATATGAAAGGACAATGAGAGTACAGATGACATGATCACATATGACAATGCAGCTTTTACTCTACAAGTCTCACTAAATGCTATATTATGACATGGGGGTAGTGTGTGAGGTGGACTGATCTTTCTTTGGTGTGCCAGTGTGCATGTTAGGTTGCTGTCATGTACTCACATCTTTAGGGATCGTCACTTGTGTGGTGATGACAGGGCCGCCCATGTCATTATAGGAGCCACGTCCACCTGATGGCAAGAGGGAGAGGTGAGGTCCAAAGTAGACGAGCAGGGAAAAAGAAGTGTAGAAACGGGGAAAGGAACAAGAGCACAAAAAAAAATCAATACTTGACTGCCAACATACTGATACATGGGTCAGCTGATTGATTTTTCTAATCATACTGATAGATGAAAGTGTAGAGACTTACCTGACTGGTAGCTATCCCAGGAGGAACTGTTGTCTGAATAGGAAATAAAGCAAGAAAGACTGACTCATAACATTACATTATTTCTGTGACATTTGTAAACAACAAATATTCAAATTACCCACTGAATTACTAAACTCAAACATATTACTGGTCATACATTTTGAAAAGATGTTCTTAAAAACTGTTACAATACAACTGTACAATTTGCTCTCCATTCCATTTGTTGTAAACAGATACTTTAAAATGTCATTCCACTACAGTTTCAATAAACAGCACGATATTGTTGCAAAAACACTTCTAGCCAGGTTGTCACTGCACTATACAGATTGTCATTTTTTCATGACGTCCAGATAAAACGCTTGACAAAAACACTGAGACCTGCACATCAAGACACATTAACATCCTGGAAACCACATCCATAGGACAGAAAAAAAAACAAATACACGAGGCTTCGTACTTACCATATCCTCCTCCGCTCTGTGAAAAACAAACAGAAAGACAAACGTGTTACATACAGTACAGCGGATTCCCCTCATCTTTCTATAAATCCCCAATGAATGGGAGGAGGATTGTAAGCACAGATGTATGGATGATGCATCAGCCTCATGAAGCGGACTCAACTAACGGCTACCCAGCTTTCACCCATAAGCCAGACTCCTCCTCCTCCTCTCCCTCCCCCCTTGCCGTCTCTCCTTGCATCTCCATCAGCCCCCATTTTCACCTGCTATTCAGCTGCTGCTGTCACCAAGGCAACAGGCAATTCAAAAAGCTGTTGCTGAGCAACGGCAGGCAGTATCCTGCCAGCTCTTGGAGAGCGAGAGACCGTCCAGTCTGTCAACAAAGCGTTATTATTGCCTAGCAACCAACCATGGCCACCACC